TATGTGAATCTCATGCATAAATATTGAAAGAATTCATTTAAATTTAACTTTCACAAAAATGAGTAAAATTGATACCTAAATAAAGTTCAAATGTTAATGATAAGTCACTTTTTGCCATGTTGATGAATATTCAGCTGACCAGTCAAACTTTTTTTGTCATGTTTATGAATATTTGACATGTGGTAAAGTATAGAAACAATCACCTGACCACTCTCTGTATCGTACAGGGATGTGTCTGCATTAATCTCCCTCAAGCAACCACTGCGATCTACATACATATCACAACCTAGCCCCAGTTACCATCTTCTGTGTTAATTTGAAAAGCAATTAGGGCTATTGTCCAACATCATCCAGCTTGGTCATCCGGCTGACCCATCAATAAAATATTAATATACCCAAGACATCTAGCCTTATCATTGGTGGTCAATACTAATCCATTTTGGCCATGTCTCTATGGACAGGAGTGACCAGGAGAATGGTTCTCCGGCCAGGATTTTATTTCAATCGTCCTCTTTTCCTCCTTAGGGAATTATTGGAGAGTTCCGTCATAAGTCAAGGTCCCGTCTCCTGGTCAGTGTTACGTAAAACAATGATCTCGCAGTAAACAACCAACATCACCATGTAGCTTTTCCTCTAAGATCAAAGCAATCAAATGTGTGGTTACGGTCTTGTTTTTCATTTAATGTCAATGAGATGAAAGTTGTGATCCTCATTTTTGTCACTTAACTTTTCCTCTAAGGCTAATACAATCAACTATGTGCTGGCTGTCTCTACCTTTTGTCACTTAACTTTTCCTCTAAGGCCAATACAACAACTTTTCCCTCTAAGGCCAATACAACAACTATGTGCTGGCTGTCTCTACCTTTTGTCACTTAACTTTTCCTCTAAGGCCAATGCAATCAACTATGTGCTGGCTGTCTCTACCTTTTGTCACTTGACTTTTCCTCTAAGGCCAATACAATAAAATGTGTGGTTACTGTCTTGTCTTTTGTCACTTTTGTTTCCATTTAAGGCTAATGCAATCAGAATTTTGCTTGCAAGCTGCCTTTCTTTTTGTCCCTTGACTTTTTTTATAAGGCCAAAACAATCAAATGTGTGGTTATACTGTCTCCTCTTGTCACTTTTGTTTCCATTTAAGGCTAATGCAATCAGAATTTTGCTTGCAAGCTGCCTCTTCTTTTTGTCACTTGACTTTTCGTTTGAAGGCTAATTATATTAAGTCTTTTGTCTCATGAATTCACTTTTGCAAAAATGGCCATAGCAATTCAGTTCGTATTTCACTCTTCATTTAAAAACTGTCTTTTCTTCCAAGACCCATGAAGTAACAACCCATGTATCATAAATATTTCATTTCATTGAATGTCTATGGATTAAAATGTCCAATCATGTCTTACAGTATTTTCTCGAAGGCCAATGATATTGTACAAAAAATGCCATCTGATGGGGCAGTACCTTAGTTCTGTACTGGATATTGATGTGTATGGATTTTGCTTGAAGCCTGGACAAGACATTACAATGACCACAACAGATTCTATTCTTTATAATGCTAATTTTCAAGTTTTTCTTGATGATAGACATTATACATTGACTGCTTCTGAAGGTGATTGTGATTGTTACAGAAGTTGCTGTTTGTATTTTACCTTGACAACCAGACCCAGCATTGACCAATTAAAACTTCAGCCTCTATATCAAATGGATCTTATAAATTTCCTTTGGATAACCAGATATTCAAGTTCAAGTTCTTTATCTACTTCAAACCTTACGACTTAATTATCATTGTAAACATATAATAAACATATTACATATGTCACAAAAAGGGGGGTGGAGACGCAACGTCCTAGATAACTGAAGTTTCTTCCATCTTTTTGTCGATTGGTGGATACCACAATGGTATACAGAGTAGAAATCCAGGAATAAGTGTGAAAACACCGCAAATCTCTTCCAAATGTTGGAATTTATTGCTGTAATAAATTTCCAACGTTTGGAAGAGATTTGCTGTGTTGTTCGCCCTTTTTCCTGGATATTACATATGTATAAAAAGCCACATTGATCAAAGGAGAATGAACACTGCTCATAAGCAAACAGTGGTATATCTGAAGACACTGAGCACTCAAATATTGCTTTGGAAAACACATATTTTGCAAAGTTTCCTTGACAACCAAATATTCCTTGATAACTACAGATACCGACCTGTATAATACCTATTTTACAAATTTCCCCTCGGGACTGGACGCTACATTGACCACTACAGAAACAGCTCACAATCTGGTCCTGAGTGGTATTACGTAATAGAAAAAGGGCAGCTGTAATGACCACATCTGATAGTGATGGTCAGCCATTGAGGGCCTACAAGGCCAGCGGTCAGTGAAGATCAATAGTTGTATAATTGATGAGTGTGGCTTTATAAATGACCTTCTTATCAAACCAATCAGCCACTGTACCAGGCAAGCTCATTAGCTATTGATTAGACCAAAAACACACAAATGCTGCATGCATTTTTGTTGTCATAAAAGTTGGCCTATGTTTAAGTATTGAAGAGGTTAATATACTTGGTTATTATCTTCATGTGGTAGGCTAACATATCTATTTTTTGTGTGTTTTTTTTAGATTTGGAAAGTAAATAACGGGTACTGATTTTATCATTGAATATTGTTAAGAAGAATCCTAGACAAAAGACAGTTGTACTAATTCCTGTAGAATGTTTGATAAAACGAAATAAGAAACAGGCTTAACCAAATCATTGTGTAAATATTGAATCTGGGAGGAAAAAAAAAGTGCTTTGATATTCAAGTATCAAAAAAAATCATTTTAGATATTTTTGAAGATCTATTTGAAAGTGTTTTTTTTACATAGCACATCATTGGATAGCAGCAATGACTGGGAGACTAAAGTACAGATTTTATGCACGTCTCATTACTCAAAAGTTGTGTTACAAATTTTTTCAGATGGAAAATTATAGAAAACAAGCCCTCGATAATTGATGAGATTTTAAAACGGTTCATTTTTCATCTGACCCTTCTGCCTAAGCAGCCATCGGTCAGTGTTGGTAAATATGACATGTTCTCGTAATTGACCAGCGTCCGTCTAGTGGTCGGTCAGTCCTGATTACATTCAATCGTCTTGTCAATTGATCAAGACCACTCCATGAATATGAAATAAAATATCTAAACAACTAGCGAGAAAAAAATCTTTAAATAAGGTTAAAAAGGGACAAAAGTAATCTGGCACTGTGGTGGGCACCATTAATCTCTGGGTGTACTTTAGCTGTATCAAGCCTCTTCACATCAATCTAGTTTGTGGAGAAGAATGAAAGACTTGTCGATTTAGGAAAAGTCTGTAAACTCGTACCAAAGATAATGGATAATTAAAACAGTTTTATTAAATTTTTCCATATTGATTCTGTTTTAAAGGAAAATTCATAAATATCATTTGATCAGAGTCAAATATACCGTAAACGATTTTATACATCAATGAATTGGTGTTTAAATTTAAAAAATAAACCAATCTGTTATGTATAATAAAACATAAGATACACAGAATTGTGTTGGCACATGTCCTTCGGGGAGTATGACTGTTATTTCTATAGGTTGTATCTAATTTGTACACACAATAGTGTTATAGTCAGTCTCATTTAAACCATTTTCTAATCGAACATATTAATTTTCGTTTCCTTCAAAATTTCAATTTGTCATCAATTAGTTTACTTTGTAGAATTTTTTCCTAAGGTGGAATTCTTTGGAAAGAAGGTTTATGTCACAGTCAGAAAACTATGATAGAATACAGCCTTAACTCTGTCAATTAATTCAACTGACTGTTGCATGTATGTAGCACTTCATAGGCGATTCAACCAGAACTGACCATTGTATAAAACTGACTCTGGTTCATTTTAATGACCGACATGCACGCTGACTAGGTGACATAATAACACATTATAGGTGAAAGGATGGACACAAAAAGCCATCAAACGATGACCGGTCCTGATTAACTAAAACGGAGGTGGGTGGAGTACCAGGGGAGGCCTATTGTGTGCCAAATGTTCAGTTTCATGTCCATTTCGTCCGCCATTGTTCAGCTTTAACTGTTACATCAAAATCATTCTCCTGTTGTACTGATTGCGTGAGACAAATACACTTATCTGGGATTTTTATAACTGGATTTTGACATTTGCGCTCAGGGTTTTTCGCTTGGCATTTCTACGGAGATTTAATTTATTTGCATGTCAAATTATCAGATTAACAATAGTTTGTGTGTGGGATACAGGTATGTCAGGGTCAATGAAGTAGTGTATAACGGACATGTTTAGTGTTACATGAAAATGTCTGATACTTCAGCAGCTGGAAGGATTCTGTTATTTAGCTTAGAACATTTATATTGGTATTCTAGTAGAATTAAACAAAGACTCATTTGACATAAAATGAAAAAAAAACCCATTAAGTTTGTAACAAACATTGATGAAGGAATTTAAAGAAAATTTAATGATTGTTAATATCAGCTAAATAATGCAATTAATTTTCAAACAATGAAAATATTGACTAAAGTGATAAGTAAATTGTTAAATAAAAGGTTTTATTTCTTTTTTCTATTTTATTAGAATTTGTTCAACATAGGATGTTCTTTGGTTTAGGATTATTTCATTCTTCTATGTTGAATCTTATCTGTTTGATGAAAAATGTGGTAAATTAAGAAATATCTATTATTACAGTTTAGTTGCTACAGGTTTTTAAAACAATTGTTTTGTCCTTTTTTCAATACTGTTTATAAATTATAATTTAGGAAAACAGATTTTTCTTTTTTCCTTTTAAATCAAATTGTATTAGAAATAGATTAACTCTTTAAAAAAAAAAAAAAAAAAAAAAAAAAAAAATGAATTCCCCTTTGGGGACCTCATGGATGGCCATAGGAATATCTCATATCAAGATTATATGCATCACCTTCACTTAAAAACATCTGTACTTGATGAAACCCCCTGGACTAATTATGTACATCATTTTTATTTCCAGGCGAGGATGACACCCCCAACGGTCATGCTGACCCAGGCACAGATAAAGGCCACTCACAAGATCCGTTTTGTGAGGTCAAAGGTCGGCAGAAGATGCAGGGGGATGAGCCTGGGTATAATGAACCCGAAGATTGCAGCGAATCCATCCACGATTTAGGAGGCGCAATAAAAAGGTAGGGGTCACGGGATCAAGTGTTGTGTTCATGTTTTATGACAAAATTTAAATGGACTCGGGGGGCCGCACAAAGGGGAAAATGCGATTAAAAGGAACCCAATACAAAAAAGCATGTGAAACTATTGTTGCGGAAATGTGCGCTTCAATGGTTTCGGAAAGAAAAAATGGAATGAAAATTTAACAGAGATTTGTGGATTTTGATGCAAATAGAGGGAAATAAAATAAGAATTGTTGCGTTTAACCTTATAAATAAATGACTATTGAAAAAGCAGTGGGCTTTATAATTTGATGAAAACAGATATTTGGTGTCTTTATGACAATAGCAATGAAAGAAAAGGATTAAGCAGTATTTAGTTAGGTTGAGTAATAATTCAAGAAGGAGTTTATGTTTTACTGAAAATAATTAATGTAATTGTGAAAGTGAAAAAAATCCCAAAAGCTATTTATGGAAGATATATTCATTTAAATCTGCATAATTTGGAATACAAATGTTACATGAAAATTAAACGGAATTAATTCATTATCAACAAAAACACCAAGTATGATAAATTTAGACTAAATATAATCAAGTGAAAGACTATTTCCAATGTGAAATTTATCTTCACCGAAATCTCTCTCCAACATAAAACTCGGTCTAAACCAGACCTTGTCTAAATAGGCCCGAGCGTTTGGTTCTGAGAACGGCCATGTATAACAAGTGGCTTTTCATTCCATAATATGTGGTCTCTGGACATTCAGTGTCCGGTTTGGTCTGTAAGTTTGCTTCTTGTGAAGGAACTCCATATATAGTGCTTTAAAGGCAGTATTATCATAATAAGAAACAAAGGAGAGGGGAAAAGTTGATATGTATATGTAACCGTTTAGGATAGGTCATGTGAGCTAATGGGTAAGAAATAGAACATCTGCTCTGGGAAATGACCAGCTGATTTAAGTGTTATCTCAAAAATAAAATTGTGTTCCATTTGTATGCCTTATCAATCAAACATACTTTTATAATAAAGTCCTATGTGTTTTATAAAGTCATTTATTAGGTCACAGTAGACAGAGGCTACATGGGTACATACATTTTCATGAGTAATCTTCTTTTGATGTTTAATAAAGACCTGCAATGTCATTTATGAAAATCAGTCAAGGTTTGTGATGTCACTTATGAAAATCAGTCAAGGTTTGTGATGTCATCGATGAAAATCAGTCAAGGTTTGTGATGTCACTTATGAAAAACAATCAAGGTTTGTGATGTCACTTATGAAAATAAATCAAGGTTTATGATGTCACTTATGAAAATAAATCCAGGTTTGTGATGTCATCTATGAAAATCAATCAAGGTTTATGATGTCACTTATGAAAATAAATCAAGGTTTGTGATGTCATTTTTGAAATCAATCAAGGTTAATGATGTCACCTATGTAAATTAATCAAGGTTTGTGATGTCATCTATGAAAATCAATCAAGGTTTGTGATGTCATCTATGAAAATCAGTCAAGGTTTGTGATTTCACTTATGAAAATCAATCAAGGTTTATGATGTCATCTATGGAATCAATCAAGGTTTGTGATGTCACTTATGAAAATAAATTAAGGTTTGTGATGTCACTTATGAAAATCAATCAAGGTTTATGATGTCATCTATGAAATCAATCAAGGTTTGTGATGTCACTTATGAAATTCAATCCAGGTTTATGATGTCATCTATGGAATCAATCAAGGTTTGTGATGTCATTTATGTAAATCAATCAAGGTTTATGATGTCATCTATGGAATCAATCAGGTTTATGATGTCATCTATGGAATCAATCAAGGTTTGTGATGTCATCTATGAAAATCAATGTAGGTTTGTGATTTCTTTTGTAAAAATTATAAAAACATATGATGGCATCTGTATAAATAAATCAAGGTTTGTGGTATCATCTTTTAAAGTTAATAAAAGTTAAGGATTTCATTTGTAAAACAATTGATGAAGGTTTGTGATGTCGGCTGTAAAAAATATACCATTGTGATGTCATTTGTAAAATGTAATAAAGGTTTGTGATGTCATCTGTAAAAATTAATAAAGGTTTGTGATGTAAAAAGTTATACTAAAGCTAAAGTTGTATATATATATAAAAAGTAAAATGTAAAGTTATACTAAAGCTACTGTTGTATATATCTATACAGTAAGATGTAAAGTTATACTAAAGCTACTGTTGTAGATATATATACAGTAAGATGTAAAGTTATACTAAAGCTACTGTTGTAGATAAATATACAGTAAGATGTAAAGTTATACTAAAGCTACTGTTGTAGATATATATATACAGTAAGATGTAAAGTTATACTAAAGCTACTGTTGTAGATAAATATACAGTAAGATGTAAAGTTATACTAAAGCTACTGTTGTAGATATATATATACAGTAAGATGTAAAGTTATACTAAAGCTACTGTTGTAGATAAATATACAGTAAGATGTAAAGTTATACTAAAGCTACTGTTGTAGATATATATACAATAAAATGTTGTAAATACTAACTACAGATGAATTATCTAATATCTACTGTACAATACAATGAGTTGGTTGGTGTTTGTAACACTATGAACAAAGAACAAAAAAAGCCAGACACTGAAGGACAATGGTCGTGTAACGTGTAATAGGACCAGGGCTAGAACTGCTTAGAGTTGCTAATATCTACACTTAGTCATAATGAAACACATGTCACTTTGTGTAAAAATGACCACAAGGGTCACCTGGCTTGACCAGTGGTCAGGTAAAACGGCAGTGTGGAGGTCAAATGACAGGTGTTTTACCATTCACGCTTTAAAAATAAAGGTGGCTCGTGTGACCGCTGGGTCAACTTTAATTATCTCTTTTGTTGTGAGCCACGATGACCAATACAGCATCATCAAATGACTGTTGGTCAGCTCAAGCCATGCAGTGGTCACTTCATGCTGGGCATTGGTCAAGAATATTTGTGGCGGCAGTGGCTAATAGCCATAAACCTGAGTATCTAATAATAATGTTTCAAAAATATTCTTGTGCACTGGCTGTAAAGTTTGAAGATGACACCAGTCACATAATTGGATTTGGTCAAGTAACCTCTAGTGTATGCCGGTGAAATAATTGGAAATAGTTAAAGTGACAATCTAAAACCAGAGTTTTATTATAAAGTGATGGATTATAAAAAATAAAATAAAAGAGAAAATGTAATAAATGATATAAATATCTAAAAACCAAAGCATAAATATAACTTACTGATTGAATGTAATTAAAAATAAAACAAAACATAAATTACCGTTTCTAATAAAAAGATAGAATGCATATGTAATTTATGTAAATGATATTTGCAATTTAAACTATAGCAAATATTCATAATCAAAACTAAAGCAAATTTATATCATGTTTATTTCTATGTTCTAAGATAAAATTATCTCATCTGAAAGAATAACTCGAAATATATCATTTAAAGGGTTATTCTGTCTCCAGGGGGTAAATACACACATTTTATTTAGGTTTTAAGTTTGAACATGCAGAACCTCCCCATGGATTTTCAAATAATTGACAAGTATGGTGTATATAGACAAATGCTTTGGTCATATTTGAACACAGTGCTGTGTTATGTTTTTTTTTTATTTAAAGAAAAAACATCCAGTTTTTCTATGGTGTAATGAAACAGGAAGACTCCAAGCTATATAAAAATAATACTCTCACAGTTATTGGCTGTAGGTAGAATCTCCCCAAAGGAATTTTCAAAAAGTTGACAAGTATGGTGTATATATAGACACATGCTTTGGTCATATTTGAAGACAGTGCTGTGTTATGTTTTTTTTAATTTAAAAAAACTCCACCCAGTTTTTCTATGGTGAAATGAAACACTCCCAAGATATATAAAAATAATACCCTCACAGTTATTGGCTGTAGGGAGGTTAGGTAGTGTGTAGGAAGTGTGTAAAGGTTAGGTACATGTGACTTTTATATATTATTGGTTATTAGCAGGTTTTTATAAAGCTGTCAGTGTAACCGTATGTAACACAGAGCTCATCTCATTGATGATGGTGGAGGTGTTACACCCCCCCATTCTCTGCTAACCAATCACTGACCAGCTGTCTTATCGCCACACTTCAGCTTGACCCCCGACCTTTGAGTGACCAGTGGACAGTCCCTGTAACTGTTTGCATAAAAATATCTGGAAATAGGACTAGATGCTTTTTCTTGGTAACTAACAAGTCATGAGTACTGGAGCCTCGTCAACGTAAGGAATTCTCAGTGTGGTGTTTTGGACTTTATAGCTGGATGTTTACGTAATTCTGTAAAAACGTGTGGTTCAATACATCGGCAGATGTATGAGATAACGTACCTAGGCTAAGATTACACACATGGGAATATTGTCTGACCCCCAAAGAAATATTCCTGGTGTAGTAGAATTTTTATATGGTTAACGTATAACAGCTTGACCATTCGGACATTATTATTTACAAAAAGTTATGGTCAATGATGGACACTGTATTAGGTGTATGAGTTAGTTTCCTGATCAACAACAACACTGCAGACTATTTTATCGGACCAGTAGTGACCAGCCTTTGAGTAAACACTGACCACCGGTCAAGATGCACTCTGATGGAAAAGGTTTGATGCAGAATGGACACAGGTTTGTCATATTTTATTAACAGGCTTTTTACATAAGTTATCAACATAATTGAAAACGCCTTTGACTTGTGTCATATTGGGCAGTAAATTCACAATTCTTTTTAATTATTATTATTAAACATCTAAATAAAGTATACTCTTTTTTCCTTTTGTAATCAATATGTTTTAATTGGTATACCATATTTGTTAAAAAAAATTGATTTAGTTTTATAACTGTTATCTTTAGTTGCTAATTTTCTTTTTTCTTTTATTAAATATTTGTACATTTATTTGGGCTAGGTTCTACAGTGTTGTTTGGCTTGGCATTTCTTTTGAAACAATGTTAATTTAAGAACTTAAGAATTTTGTGACATTTACATATGACAAGCTCATTTTCACC